ACTATTCTTTCCTGAATAGAGTTGGAGTTTAACTTTGCTCACGGACCTGCCCTAGGGCAGTACCACCCAATATATTTATAATTATGAATTATCATTTATAATTTATTTAGACATGGCAGTTTAGCAATTGTGAATGTTACATTTGAAATATAAAATAAAAATGATAAAAATTGAATTCAAATAATAAATAGTAAGTAATAGGAGTACTTTTCATCTATCATGAAGAAACGAGCTTTGTAAGCATGTATTTATGCCTGCATTGTCTGTGAAATAGTTTGCCTAATCAAATACTAAAAATTCATGAATAGTTTACCATGTTAAGTCTTTGATTGCATTACCGTTATCGACCATCGAAGAAATGTTCGACCTGCATTTAAATTTTATTGTATTATTATTAGTACTATACGTATTCGACATTGACGTTCATTTGGCTTTTCCTCCAAGTGAATTTGTTTAGTAATAAAATTATTTAAACCAACTTATTAAAAAATTGTCACAGAATCGAAATTATCAAGTGCTAAAGGCAACAGCATTCAAGGAAACAGATGTAGTGTGGAATTTTTGAGACGAGCTTTCGCCATTTATATTTTTTCTTTAAAGATTAAATAATAGAGTAGAGCGGGGCTTAAAGGTCAGTGGTTAATAAAGCCCATCACCGATTTCTCAAAAAAGTTAAGAATTTTTTAACATCAGTATTTAAAAGCAGAGGGAAAAATGTATAACCAATCATCTCCTTGATTTTTATGACTATCGGGTAGTCATAAGCCTTTTATGACTATATTGCTATCGGGAGATAAACGGCAAAGTTTTAAAATCCATAACAAGAGTATTTTCTTTTGTTTACAAGAGTTTTTTGGTTGTTTAGACCTTAATATAATTTTTAAGTACATATACGTTATTTAATTGTTTTATAACATGTATTGATATTTTCAATTTAGATTCTACAGATTTTATTATATAACTTCTATAAAAGCTTACATGTGGGTGGGGTAAAACGGGACTATCTACAATATTATGTGAGATGATATAAGTTAGAGAATAGATGAGTAATTACAATTTATGAATACCATGTGCCAGTCATAATAAATATAAATACATAACTAATACGCTCATATTTATATTTATTTCTATGCCAGGAAATTCTTGAAGCATTGTATTTTAAAGTAAGCATTCCGTAATTAACTTTATATTTTTGCAATTAAACAGTATCTTATACATATAGTTATTGTGTTAATGTTGTAGGGACAAATTTTAATTTAAAACTATTAAAAACCTGATCGAAATATATATGTATCTATAGAAATATTTCAATCTGCGCATATTGAATTATTTGAATGTACTGAGAGAGTTCTCCGTCTACAAATTTAGTTCAATTACTGGTTGATTGCTTGCGCATAGGAAGATGCATTAGTATTCATAATAGTCAATTTTTTAACATGGTGCTGATTCGGATAATAGACAATAACTAGTAGTGTATGACATCGTGCCTTAAAGCAAATTAAAAAGCGTCGTACCTTAATGAAATATTCGAGGAATATAAAATGTTTGCAAATAGATTATTATAAATAACGTAACTTTCATTTTTCTTATTTTATAAAGAGTAAATAAACAAAACTTAATCAATCGGATTTAAAATGAAGAACATTGTCTAATATTTCTAACAAAGTAAGTATTATATAAACTGAATTGTAAAATTAAAATTATTTATTTGAAGTATATAAGTGATGTTCAGCACTTTAGCCAGAATCAGAATTAAAATCCGAATTATGTTTCAGTAATTTAAAAAATCTTTCTTCAAAAGCAATAGTTTCGTCAACACAAACAGAAGGCTTTTTAAATCATTCGAATCGGACGCTTAGTTTTCTTAAAACCTGCCTTTGTCAAAATCTAATCACCACTTCTGCCCATCATTACGAATCGAATGCTTTTTGGATCATTCAAATCGGTTGATCCGTTCTCTTAAAAATTGATATTTTAACACTTTTTGCTCCATATCTCCGAAGCCACTGGATCTGTCTTCGTCAAAAAATAATCAGCACGTCTTCTCATCACTAGGAATGGAATGCTTTTTGAACCATTCAAATTGGATATTTCGCACACCCGAAATAGTCGAAAAATTATTAGTCTCCACACACACACATCCATTTTTTCTGTGGTTTGCTAAAATGTTCAGAAATCTCTGAAACGTGAAGATATGCAAAAAATTTTATTTTTGATTTTTGGCCCATTACTATAACTTACCCTACGAGCAGTTAATAAATATTCGGACATTTTATTAACAAAATTTTTATAATTACCAACTAGAGAGAAACTTTTGGTTAATAAAGCTATATTGAATCTCAAATTATTCTAAACAGTTCAATTATTTTCAAAGATATGTTTTCGATTTTATTTACCATATATCCACAACATGTAGTCATTTAATCAGCGATGCAGTATACCTTTTTCAAATATCGATTCACTTCAGTTTCCAATACTTTTCACTATTGTATGTATAAAGTTTTACATTTGTTCAATTTTCGTAACATTCGCCAATTTTTTACTTTCATCTCTTCTTTGTATATCGAACTTACTCTCAACTATTTTGAACCATTTTAATGATTATTTTCTTGATTATAGTAGATTAAAAATAAAATAATTTGTTTATTCTAGGTATAAATATTGATGTAGGTAAATTTATCTAATTGTAAGTGGAGTGACACTATAAAACGAGATGTGCTCTTTGGCCTTCTTTGTGATTTATGATAAGCCATAGGAAATTTTTAAAAAGAGGAACGTGTCTAAATTCTGTGTACAATTATATATGGAACACCACTGATTAAAGCACTATCTCAAAGTTAAACAAACTTGTGTTGCATTTCCTACATTATATCAAAACATCTATAAATTGATAACTTTATCATAAGAAACTAAGTCTTACATTATTACACTATTATATATGTATTTAAGCGCATATTTAGTAAGAAGTATTACGGCAAATTAAAACATCGATTTTTTTTTTATTTCTATCAAGTAAAATTTGGTGTCGATGTCTAAATAATAAAAACAAATAAATATTTGATAAAACATTATTATAAATATTAGTTGTAATCGCTTTATTTATATCATTTTACAGTCATTATAATTACGATAATTTATCAATTAAGATTAATATATTATGCATAAAACCAGTTTATAACCAGTTCTATGTAATTAATTTTATTGCTTGCAAGATATTAAATTTATTTTGATATAGTAATAGTATCAATACTATCAATGCATGAATTTGCCAAACTGCAAACAAATTTGCTCACGTAATTAACAAGTTACATTACAAAGTCTGGTCGTGTTTGAAGATACAGAGACCGATTTCCACTTATATATTTTTAGTCATTTTTGATATTTTAAAATGGATTTTTAAAACAACTTGGATTAAAATTATTTTATTTTTATTATTGACTCTAGGTTTCTAAATCGATGCTTTGGAACATCTAGTATCAAGAAGTAATAATTTCCATTTTTACTTGAGAATATAGATAAAATTATATTTCAAATTGAAAACATTAAAATAGCATGGTTATATTAAAAAAAATGGCTTATTTTAGGGTGGTTTTCTTGTGTTTTGGGGGGAATTATTGGTATTTGTAATGATTTTTAAAAATCGATGAGCTTAAGCCAGTACTACTGATTTCAAACATTTTTTTGTAATTATCAGGTGTTTGATAGATTTTTTATTATGTATTTATTTTTGTTTACTTTCGGATAAAATGACATAAGATTAAAACCTGTCAAAGGTTAGCTTTTAACTTTTACTCTAAATACTTCTAAGAATAGAACAAGGAATTTACTGATAAGAATAGTAGACTTACATTTAATGCAAAACCCTTTTTTCTCATTCTGAGCCCGGCAAAGGGAGCATTCATTCACGTGAGGTTTCTAGGGGGACGGGCGGTTTGACAAAAAATCACGAAATATCACGTAGGGGAATTAGGGTTGTAGTAAGATATCACGTGTATTTATTTTCCAACTATTTTTTTAAAAAAAGTTCAAACATTTTCGAAAAAAAATTAAAAAATTACAGTTTTACGTAACTAGAAATACACGTGATGTTTGATTGGGGAGAGGGAAAAATTTTGAATATCACCATATATCAACACGGTGGAGGGGGGGGGGGTTCAAAAATCCTTAAAAACTCGCTCACGTGATTAATGGACGATGGACGCCCCAAAGATTGTTTACCTTCTGGTTTCTGGCTTCATGTGCTGATATCCCAAAGAGAACCAAACGATTTATTTATGAAACGTCTTCTTTAAAATTAGTAATTCATTATGTCCTTACTCTACATGTCATTTTGCCCATACTATATGGACAAAATGGTTTTTCTAATAGGTAGCATTTTTCCTTAATAAATGTTTTTATAGTCTTTATTTATTTAAAAGACTATTTTGCCGGTAGTCAATGAACCAAAGATGACTAAAAACCATTGAAACTGATTATATCGTTAAATAAATTATAATTGAAAAATATAAAAAAAACTATGTCATTTTGTCGTTACTTACCCTATCAAAGTATCAGCACAGCAGACTATAGAATTTTTAGATATAAATCCTGTTCTACAATAATAAAAAATAAGTGTTATAAAGAACCGATTGGATCTTAAACACCTAAATTTCTGATAGCTACTAAATGAAGGTAACAAGAAGTATGTATCATTGATCAATATTCATTTTGCATACTAAACTACATAAAAAAGTATGATATTGTTTTTGATAATTTGTGAATATCATATTATAAATATAGTCTTTCCCGATCAATTGACATCTTTAACATTTTTTTTTCAAATGATCTTTAGGTTATGGAAAAATTAATACAAATACCAAGTTTATTTTTTACTGACTAAATTTTTATATTTTTGTCTACGAATAAAAAATATGTATTTTTGTTTCTAATTATATAAAAATAAACTCATGAACATAACTATATAATATCGTATATCGATTAATAACCCATTCGATATTTTTTATTCAGATGACTGGGTGTACGCTCAGGGTGCGGCTGCTACCCCAATCAACTTATTAGGTGCGATGACTGCACATGGGAAGAAGCAAGGCCTGAAGAATGTGCGCGTCTGCCACATGCACACTGAAGGACCTGCATTATACGCTCAGCCTGATTGCGAAGGGATATTTAGGCGAGTACTGTTTATTTTTATTTATATTCTGAACTAAATCAACCCTTTGGCTAAAAGCGTTGCCTACAGATGACATGCGTTTGCTTCAATATTTATCACTCTAAAGAAAATTTTTGAGAATTCTAGTTTGTTCCTTACATTTTTATTCATTATGATTGAAAAATTTTAATATATGTTGTTGCGCCTGGTTCAGTTGCGCTACTGGGCGGCACACTGTTTCGTACAGCAGTGTCGTAGTGAAATGGTTAATATTTTTTACATTTTGTTTATGGTCAGAATATAATTAAGAGTACCGCTTTGTTAGAATAAATTTCATAATTCTAAACATTTTACTTTCGCTCCCATACTACAAAATCGTTGGTGGCTTTGCCCTTTTAGTGGTTATCCTTTGGGACGACTAGCTGTTCTGTATGATCGTTATAACATTATAATTTGTATAATTTTTTATACTATAAGATTATATACAATACAACTGATTTGACCAAGTTTTTTTTAATATCGAATATAAATAAATCTTCTAAATTTATATGTACTTACTATTATCAGATCTGTATCATTCTTCATGGGAGGCAACGTACGTGCAGCTGTGAATGAAGGACGAGGCGATGCAATTCCAATCTTCCTATCAGAAATACCTCTTCTATTCCAAAAGAAAATTATTCAACCTGATGTAGCCATAGTTCATGTAAGGATGTACATTCGTTATCAATTCAACACATTTTTAAAGATACCTACTTAGTCAATTATATTCAATGTGTATAATTTACAGAGTTAGTTTTATTGGATAGTATATAATCTAATTGAAATTCCTATAAGGATCAATATTTATAACTAGGTTTCTGGAATATTAACAGAATAATAATTGTTATTATACGTAATTAAAATTTTAATAAAGTTAAACTAACAAAAAACATCTTATTCTGCATACTAGGTTTCTCCTCCAGACGCTCATGGATTCTGCAGTTTAGGTACCAGTGTTGACTGTGCCAGAGCTGCGATGCAAGCATCAAAAGTGATAATTGGTAAAATATACGATTGTTTATTTTATTGTATTTTATTATTATTTTTCAAGACTAGTGCTAATTTATTTTTAATCATGCAGCACAAGTTAATCCTAAAATGCCCCGTACATTTGGTGACTCATTGTTGCACAAAAGTCACATAGATTATGCTGTAGAAATTGATGAACCGTTGGTAACCCATGGCGGAAAACCACCTAGTGAGGTGAGATATGTTAAGTCGCGTTTTATTTTTTATACTACTGAGATGTAGCCTCACTTTGATATACATATTACTGTATTGCAAAATTTTAAGTGTTTCAATTGAATTCTTTAAAATCTCCTAAAATTATTGTGTCAATAAACAGCTTGATAATAAATGTTCTACATTCTATTAATCAACTTTTACAGGTAGAAACTGCAATTGGTGCACATATTGCAAATAACTTGGTGGAAGATGGTGCCACACTTCAAATGGGTAAATTGAATATTTTAACATATCATTTTGTTTATAATAAATACTATAATGTATTACTAACTTTGTCTGCTTCTTATAAATTGGATATATATTGTTACAATTTTTATCATATTTATTAAGTAGTCTTCATATTAAATTTATACGATTTTATCTTTTTTATTCTCTTTCAGGTATTGGTAACATTCCTGATGCAGTTCTTGCCAAACTACATAATCACAAAAATCTTGGAATTCATTCTGAAATGTTTGCCAATGGTGTAGTGTCTTTAGTGAAGGAGGGTGTTGTTACAAATACTAAAAAGTCATTCCATAAAGGAAGAATTGTTGGTTCCTTTTTAATAGGAACTCAAGAGCTTTATGATTTTGTTCATAATAATCCTTCCATAGAAATGTTGAGAGTGAATTATGTTAATAGCACTGCTGTCATTGCCAAAAATCCAAAAATGACAGCGATTAACTCTTGTATTGAAGTAGATCTGACTGGTCAAGTGTGCTCCGATTCCATTGGAACGAGGCTTTATTCAGGATTTGGTGGACAGGTTGATTTCATAAGAGGTGCTGCAGAAGGTTTAGATGGCAAAGGAAAACCTATTATTGCTTTACCTTCAGTTACCAAAAGAAATGAATCCAAAATTGTGCCAATACTCAAACCAGGTAGGTTACCAAATTTAATATATAATATTGTGCACCAACTAGTAATAATAGAATATAAAAGTGATATATTTCTGTTGTTTATTCTGCGTTAAATAATATATATCATTTCACTAACAGATGAAAATGTGGATTTTAGTTCTAAATATTTAGAAATGTGTTCATTTTGAAACTGTAGTATATTAAAAATCTGATATAAATTTGAAGCTTCTATAATAATATAGAAGTTCTAAGATGACTTTTCTCATAAATAATTGTTCCTAATTTATTATGTTTCATGATTTAACTTACATTCACTTGAAAGCGTTTGTCAAAGATGATGCCTATTTGCTTATTTTTCTTAATGCATATGGAACGAATAAGAATTGATTAAAATTTTCTACATAAGTTATCATTTAATATAATAAGTATTGATCAATATAAAATATTGCTTTTTTATAACTTATAATGGAGTAAAAAAAACATTATCAAAAATAAATAAAAATAATAATCATCGATATGCATAGCTATTGATTTCATTCAATTGAGAGACATCATATATATATATCAAAAAGAGTAAACTAAATTTTTGTGCTTTGCATTGTTTAATTGTAATTTATTAACTAATAATATTAATTGATAGTGCATTCTACAAACTTATAACTTCAATATTTTAGGATCTGGTGTTGTTACTTCCCGAGCACATGTGCACTATGTTGTGACTGAGTATGGAATTGCTCATTTGTTTGGTAAAACATTATTAGAACGAGCATATGCTCTTATTCAAATTGCTCATCCAGATCACAGAGAAAGCTTAGAAAAAGCTACCTTCGAAAGATTCAAAGCCATGCCAGTTAAGAATTAGCCTAAGAAAATATTTAATTCAAATTTACCTAATTTTTTATATAAAAATCTAAATTTCTATTAATACTAGTGGGCATATTTTTAATTTTTGTGATTCATTATAGATGTATTATTCATTTGCTTAAAGTGCCTATTATCATAAATATAAATTTATGCATTTCAGTCTCTGCCACTGTAATAGCATGTAATAAGTCTTCATAAAAGTATTTTTTGTTTGATAATATACATTTGATTATACTATCTTTCAATATATTTTTAATATTGTTTATAGTCAAATTATTGAATGAATATTTCACATAAATGTCATTTTTTTTTGTTTAAACTGTGTTCTGCTCAAAGTTACACTTTTCGGTTAGTTTATCTGTAATTAGTGTTTTCACTTATATTTAGTTAATGCTAATCTCAGCTCATAATAAAACTGAAAAAAAACCACTGCCACTATTGAGTATTTATCATTTTTGCTCATATTTGGTATTTACAACAAAATATTATCATAATACATTAATAAATTTGTGCCTTCTGGTCACTTTTTATCAAAGTTGCATGGAGATTTTGGGAACAAAATAATTATTTGATTCATTATTATGCAAAATATTACACAAAACGGAATAAACATTTAATTAAAATTTGGTGAACCACTCATTTTAAAAATCTGTAGTAATAAAACAGGCTATATTGAAAGTTTTTGAAAAGGTCAGATATGCTTTTTCATAGTCCTAACTTTATATGCATAGCAAGCATAAAAAATACTTTGTACAAAATGGTTCACAGGACTTTTTGAATTCGACATCTAGATTGCAATGTTCAATGGATAATTTAGCTGAAGATTTAATTTCAACATATGATGTCTTTTATACAGTTCATATGTAATATATATTTTGATTATTATAATTTGTATATTATTTATGAAAAGTTACAATTTATTTTTAATCAAATTCATCTTACAGTGCTTGTTAATATTTATGATATGAATTGTTAGGGAAAATATTTCTAATGTATATTTATCACTTGTATGTAAAATAAAAATCAGAACATTATACTAGGTTTTTATTTGATTCATGTTATTGATAAATGTTATGTATTTTCATTAAAACCGTAAAGTTATATTTCAGTGTGTGTGATGATATACAAATTGCTTATAATGTGTAAATTTAGTAAAAATGCGTTACCTGAGTTATTTTTAGAAAAACTCAGGATTCAATTTCTTCAAACCCTTTTTGGGAATTGAAATGACCACCACAGTACTCGTGGCTATTTGCTTACCGCACGCTCAAGTTCTAACAAAAAAAAGTTCTGTCTAGTTTGAAAATAAGCAAACCAGAATGGGTTGATTGCCCATCATATTATTATAATTTTATATACATAAATTCAAAATTGAATTGGTGAAAAGTTTATTTTTATAGCTGTTCCAGATACAAGGCTCGTCTAAGTCGTCATCAAAACCAATTAGCGTGTGACCTGCTCAAACAAAAGAATCTGCAATGATTTACTACATCAAAACACATAATATCTGACAAGGAGCTATCGCAGGAAAGCGATCCTTCTCACACTGTTGAATAAAATATTCCTGTAAAGTAACTGAATGTACTGTGTGTATAGTTTGCTATGTACAATAAAATAAAACAAAAACTAAAAAAATATTCAAACATTGTGGAGCATTCAAAAGTTCAGAGATATAACCTGCAGACTTTAAAGCCACTATTTAATTAAAAAATATCCTGTGGACGTGAACGATGTTATTCTATTCAATTAACATAAAACTCTAATTAATACCAATGGCATTTATTTAGATTAATAATACAAATTAATACATTTTTTAACTTATTTCATAACATTCACAAATCAAGAACCTTGATGTTCATGCACACATTTTCAAATTAAAACTTGAAAACAATTGTAAGGTAATTAAAAAATAATTCATAGAGTATCATACAGTCATCATATAATCCTTATTTATTCTAGTTTTCCTGGCGTTATTATCTTCTAGAGGCCCAAACATCGCTAATCCAATTGATGGGCGCCAAAATGATTTTATTCGCGGCTCTTATGATAGGCCAAACAGCGACTCGTGCTTTGTTGAGAATTCCCGATGCATAAGCTCGTAATACCAGTCCAAGTAGGAAGTATAATAAGACCATTAAATAGACGATGGTGTCCGACAAAGTTGATCCTCCCAGAACGTCATATATCCGCCGCACGCAACGTCCACCATATAGCACTTGAGATATACAAATCTCGTCTGCAAGGGGTATCATGTCCAGGAGATCGGGTAATACGTCGAAGCTGAAGTGAACTATGGAGCCCCATATTAAGCTCTCCGTCACTTCGACGATCAATTTAACGAGTACAAACTCGTACATTAATAGGGGAACGAACCCGAGAATCCTGAACGCCTCCGGATAAATTTTTGCGTCAAATATGACGACCAGTGTAGTTACAAAGAAGAAAAAATTCGCCAGCCATGGTCCTTGATTGAGATGATTTTCTGCAATCATCAACCACATATTCTTATAGTAATGAACTATAATTGTAAGAAATATAGTGTTAGCGTAAACCATGATTTACTTAAAAAACTTGTGTTTAAGTTACGAAACTGGATATAACGAGCGAGCTCTGTACAACTGTATCAAGTTTTGGTTGCAACTAACTTCAATCCCATTTTCAGTACCCTTATTGGTTGTTGAGCGGAATCATAGATAAATGAGCGGGAAAACAAACAAAATATATTGCGTATTGGCGCGCAATTATACTCTTATTTTATCTAAGCGCGCAACTAAGAAAATATAAATATGAAGTTAGCGAATGTATGAATATGAAAATATAATAAAGTTTAACCCTCCGTCGGTCGGATATTTTTTCACCTTCAACGGTCGGAAAGGTCTGGCTGGACCACCATTCATTTGACATGCATTTATATGAGATGAATGAGTATGAATAATTATCTATTAACGATTATATAAAAAAATCAAGAAATATAAAAAAAATCGTTGCTTTTTTTGTTAATTTTTCTCTTTTAAATCAATGAAAAACATTATTTATTCTTTTTCGGCGCTTTTGAAATGAATGTGTGCATTAAAGGTGCGTCCACACCTAACGAACGAACATGAACGAACATAAACGAACGTACCAGAACGAACGGCGACAGCATAGTGTGGACGCCACGACGATCACGAACGAACATAAACAAACATGGCGAGCAATGTTCCGCAACTTGTCGGTACATCAAAGGGAATTGTTCGTTCATGTTTGAACTCGTATGTGCAGTGTGGACGTCACAACGAACGCAAACGAACATTTTTGTCTTAATAATTTTAATAATTTAATAATAATTTTTTAATAATTTAATAATAATTTTAATAATTTAATAATATTTACTTTTAATTATTGTATTGGTTGAAAATTTTGAATAAATTATGGAATGGTCAAATGACGTAATTTTATCATTCATAAATGAAATAGATAAGTTTCCTAGAATATGGGAGAATAAAGACCCTTTTTATAAAATTATTAGAAAAAAAAACGATGCTTGGGAAAGTGTAGGCAAAACGTTTGGGATGTCAGAAGCTGCAGTAAAGAAGAAATTGCAGTCTTTACAATTAAATATTAAACTTGTTATCATACATATACATTCAACATATATGTTGAGGATGAGAGTTTGAAAATTGAGTATAGTTAGCTCAAGCCTGGAATGATCAGCTTGCTCCGAATATGAATGCTGAGGAAAGAAAACGACTCAAAATATAAATATTAAATACAAAAACTGAGTGAAATTAATTGAATAATTTGTTTACAGTATATTTACAAAATATACACGAACAAAAATCACACAAAAACCAGTGAAAATGACGTATGATTAAAGCTTACATCCATATCAATAATAAAACTGGCGTTTCACGGAACATCTACGAACAACGAAAATTCAAGCGCTCACTGCTTTTAAGCGCTTGTTCAAGTTTGTTTGGAATTTTTCGCGTTCGTTCGTGTTCCTGTTCGTTCTTCTTTGTATTTTCTTGTTCGACATGTTCGTTCGTGTTCGTTCGTTAGGTGTGGACGCACCTGCTCATCAGTTAGATTTTCAGTGTTTGCGATTACCAATAAGTTTGGTAGGTTTTCAAGGAACTCTCGTCATGCAAATACTAACATTCATGTTAGAACACATAGCAAAGAATATAAACAACGCAGTTTGAATAGAAAATACCATGAAAAAAAAACAAAATACTGGTTTACATATATCAAAAAGCGTATATTTCATACAAAATGTATGGGTGGTCTGGACAGACCTTTCCGACCGTTCGAAGTATAAAAAAGTTAATATCCTTATAATTATCCTTCTGTACATTTTTTCGTCCTGATTTTTTCATTGATCGACAGCTAATGAAATTTTAGGAAAAGTCAAGAAATTTCAAGTCGATAGGATTACTAGAAGTATTTTTTATTTTTAATTGAAGTCGAAAAAAGTCTGGCCAGACCACGCCGACCGACGGAGGGTTAACAAGACTTTTTGACAATATTGCATTATTGCACTATAGTATATATTAATATATTATTGTAATATAAAAATACAAAATTAAATAAGTTGTCTTAATATTTTACATATTAAGGCAACAAGAAAAGAATACATTATAATTAATTTATTGAAAAGAGATGGTTTATGAAGTAAATAGAATTTTCTATTTTTAAATAAAAAGCTTTTGGTTGAGCCTCAGAAAAATATTCAAAGAACCGCATGAAGTCCGCAGGCCGTGTGTTGCTCATTTTTTATATACAGTAGAACCTCGTTTACCCGGCCCTCGGTTATACGGATTCGCGATTATCCGGACAACCAACCGCGTCCAATTTCTATGATTTTTGCATAATTATATATATATATATATATATATATATATATATATATACAATGTACAAATAATGTATAAATCATTGTCAAAATCATATAAAATATTTTGAATTTAATATAAGTATTTTCTAATCATAAAATTCTTGAATATTGTTGTAAACATCGCTTATATAAGTGAAATAAGCATATAATTATGAATTTGGAAAATACGTGTTCATGCTGTAATATTGCAG